GAGCACAGGCATAGCTGCCTGGGATCAGCAGTTCCTGTGTTCTACTACTTAGCAAAATTTGGCTAGGCATCCATTGTGGCCTCTCAAGAACACTGTTAAAAGCCATCATGTATACTCAATCATCAATCACTTTTTTTTTATTTATTTGTAAAACTTGTGAACAACCCACATTCATTCTGTGCCCTACTTACATCTCTTAAACCTTATTTTGGGACCTGAAAGTGCTTATTAAATTTACTTTCAAAGGATTATCTAACCCAAGAAAAGGACAGTAAATCCAGAAAATACCAAGAGAATGGAGTGAATTGTGGTTTGCAGTGATCAGTGTTCAACTGGGAGGACCTGTGATATATTATCTTTTCAAGTATATCCTGTCACTGCTTGGTTTTCATCTGTATTTTCAGGTCATCCAAGATTTTTCAATCAGCTGTATGCTGGAATCGATTATTACTCGTTAGTGGCTCGTTTCATTACAGAAGCACTGAACCCAAGTGTGTAAGTGTAGCTCTTTGTCTTCTTGATGATGAGTTAGCATGCTTTTTGGAATAACAGTGGTTTTTGCCCCCCCCCCCCGATTTCTGTTTTCAGTGTTACAGAGGAGGTAGAAATTGTGGAGGAATTTGGGAGAGGAAACAGTCTGGATTGTCTGAGTAGCTCACCAGAAAGCTGCCTAATCTGATGAGGCCTTTTTTTCTAGTTTGTGAAGTGGGGTTTAAGAAGAGAGATCTTTGTTTTTCAATGCTTTTAAACCTAGACTTTTATCTTAGTGCATAAAAATGAGTTAATCAGACTTACTCAGCTCTTCATTTCCTTTGAAGCATTCTGCACAGAGTTGAATACAAATGGTTACAGGTCTACTGTTTACTTGCAAATGTAAAACCTAAACAAAAAGTAATTGTTGCTTTCAATAGATCATTATAGCTGAAATTTAAGCATGTGACCTAAATTAAAAGCAGACTCTGATGTATTACTTTGAAAGTGGAAGTGTCAATGTGATGCTGTCTGGAGCTAAGCAATTGCTCTACTGGTCAGATCCATAGTGTTTTTAATTTAGAGTTCTACTGCTGATGGTCAACATCTGATAGATAAGGGTGCAAGAAACCTTTATTTAGTTTTGGCAGTATTCTGTGGCATGCATTCTGTAGTCTTAATACCAATCATGGTGCTTTTATTTTTGTTCAGATATACATATGAAGTATCTCCTGTGTTTCTGTTGGTGGAAGAAGCGGTCGTCAAGAAAATGATTGAGTTCGTAGGCTGGGAAGAAGGTGATGGTATATTTAATCCAGGTAAGAACAGTGCAGACTTCAAGCTGAGTCTTTGCAAACCAACTAATACTAGTAATTCCATGAACATTGGATTCAGGTAGAATATTTGAAAATGTATGCAAAAATCCGGTGATGCACACACAGAGCTATTTAATCTAGGTTTACTTTATGTGTTTCTAGTAATAGTTATATGAGTCTGATTAGCAAATGAATGAAAACAGTTCTACATTAAATATAGTTCTGTGGAAATTATTTGTTCGTAACTGATGCCCTTCTTGACCTTATTAATAACAATACAAACAGCCTTATTGGACTGAGTCAAATTGGTTGACAGACAGGGAGCTGATTTACATGCTAGACACCTGACCAGTGGTGCCTGAGGGTGCTAATCTGTGTATCCTGCCTGTCAACTGTGGGAGGGTCATGAGTTTAACTCCTTTGAGTTTTGATAGGTTTTTTTAGATGTTACAATAAAGCCCACCAAACAAATACTTCTTAAGCTTCTTGGTAAGCTGTGGTTTTCAAATGTTATGTAAAGCGGTGTTCCAGCCCACTGCATTGAAATAATGAAGCATAATTATAATTATTCCACAGATTATTTGGCTAACAAATTATTAGGATAGATGTAAAGCTTTTCTGTCTGATTTGGAGGTGAGAAGGGAAAAGTAAATGAGTAAATGGATTTAAATCCCTTCTCAAAAACCAAAACAAAGTCACTAGTTCTAGCCTATGTGTGAGTTGTAGAAAAATAAACTAAAATCCCCCAAATTTTTTTTGAAGATATTAATGGTATGGATTTTTTTTTCATGTCAGGTTTGGTGTGTATTTTCAGTCAAATCCTCAATTTTGTGGCAGAATTGCTTAATTAAAACTTACTGAGTTACTCTCAAAAGAACTAAATTGTACTTTTTTTGTGCTAGTTTTATGTAACAATTTTTCTTATTTTGGTTGTGTTCTTTCGAGTGAATAAAACCCGTCCAGACCTTACCTTGCAGATCTTCCAGTTCCCACTCAGTGTTGTGTTTTGTGTTTTTTTTTTTTTTCCTCTATTGGCTTTTTTCTCCCCATAATACTCTGAGGTCTACTTGTCCAAGAGATCACTCTGTACGGTGCAGCCACAGCTGAGCTCAGTGCAGGCAGCTGAGCTGATGCTGCTTCAGTGTAAATGGGAAGGAGCTGTTGCAGGTATTCTCTGTCAGAGAGGACTGTTTGGGCACAGTTCTTATTCTTCAGGAAATATCCCTAAAGAGCATTCAAACACGCTGTTTCTGTGCATGCTGCAGAGCCCAAAGTTCATTTTATGTCTGTAGGCTTTTGGGAAGCAAATAAATTATGATGGGTGCATCTATAGGCTAACTGTATGGTTTATTTTTTTTTCCCTAATAGGTCAAGCACGCAGACACAGGACAGGTTCTAGGACTGTGGCTAATATGAAATTTGTATGTCTCTTTCTGCAGGTGGCTCTGTTTCTAATATGTATGCTATCAACTTAGCAAGATACAAATTTTGTCCTGAGATAAAGGAAAAAGGGCTTTCAGGTTTGCCAAGACTAGTCCTGTTCACTTCGGAAGAGGTAAAAGCAAAACAAAAAAACTTTTTCGAACTTTATTTTTCAAGGGCTGCAAAATTATTTCATTTGCATATCTGATGGAGCAATTTGTCATCATAAATTTGTCATCAGTGTATGATGTGGAATATTGGAACTAAGTGGAGAAGTCTGATGGTAAATTTCTCTGCAGAAGCTTCCTTGCTTTCAGAAAATAAACACAGATGTTCCTGCTCTTAGAAATTGCTGATATAAGAATAGGTTGTGCATGGGGCAAACCTGAAGCAGAATGCATGTGGTGTGTTGTGGAGGTCTGCAGCATTTGATTTCCCACAGCATAAAGTCTAGCAGGAACCATAGGCAGATTTTGCATGTCAAAGGTTTTTTTTCTGCAGGTTTAATTTGTACTAAGCTGAGCACTTGTAGACCTGTGAGACGGCTCTCTGCAGCTCCCACTCTGCCCTATGTCTGAGTACAGACTGGTTGTGGTACAGAACCAAACCCACCATAAAGCATTTCAGAAAAAACTGCAGGATTTTTAGATAGCCCTTCATTAAATAATTGAAAATATGTGTCTAGTTTTAAAGTTTTTGAATAACACCTGTCCAAACTGCCTGTGGGAAATTGAGTTATATTCATACATTTATTCTGAAGGTAATTTTTGGAGGCTTTTTCCTCTCACCTGTCCTTCTCATTTTATCATTTGATTAGTACAGAGTTGTTATTAATTCTGACTCCACTATATAAAGGCCTCAGTGGACATGAGAACCTTGTTGTACTAGGAAGTATATCGTTACTAGAATAATTTTAGCTCTTAAGTTTATGCTCCAAACAGTTTGCTGTGTAAATAGATGAGAGGCTAATTTTGAAGAGGTCCAAGGGATGAAGGCATTGCATAACTTGTCCAGCACAGCACATTTATTTTGGAACTGAATCTAAATATCCTAAATAAAAGGATTTTTTTCCAAGGCAAAATATATTTAGGGTTTTTCTTTCTGAAAAGTGTGTGTATAAAATGACATGCCAGTTTATACTTTGTTCATCACATTACATCTTAAAAATAGCTAAGGAGGAAAAAATGAGGTTGAAACATGTTCTGTTAATGCTTTTGAAGCAAAGCATGAGAATTTTTGTCATGAAGTAACATTTTATTTCATGGCAAGATTTAACTAAAATGTATACTCTTCTATTCTAAACCAAGCATTTAATTTATGACAAAAGAAATTTTATTTGACCCCCAGAGGAAATTTATTTTGATGTCTTTGCTTCATCAGAAAGATCAAAATGATAAAACAGAACTGACCAGGAAAAATAAATTGGTAAATTTATTTATAAGGCAATGCTCTTGATCTCTAATACTTTGCTTGATTCTCAAAACCGTGTTCTCTTTAATACTTAATAATCACTTGCTGTAAAATTGCCACCTTTAGTAGTTAGATATTGTGTCTAAGATCTCTGGTATTTATTCATGGTTGAGGGAGATGTGCATGTTCATATATACTTATTTTAGATCCATCTGTACTAGTCCAAGTTATGTTACCTTTTGGAAGTTTGTTTAGTTGAAATATGTCATATTGACAATAGATGTAATAGATGGCCCACACGGAAGATAAGTATGTAAGTGCTTGTGTCACACAATCTTACTTTACTTATTATTTGGTTTTATTTAAAAAAAAATATCCTGAATAAGTTAACAACTGTTTATCTTCAATGTGAATCAGGTGAACAGTGTTGGCATGGAGAAGCCATGAGATTATAATGAACTGAGAGTATTGATAAGGAGTCAAAATACATGGCTGCTCAAGGCAGTTGGGTCATTTTAGGGCTTTGCTTCAACACTGTGTTCAAATGAAATTATTTTTGCCTTGAGGTGCCGAGTCCTAAAGTTTCAGTTTGACACTTGACAGACTGAAAGAGTTGCCTTTCTGTAGAGCAGAGGAACGCATGGACTTGTCAGTGACTTAATTTTATGTGATCTGGGGCTACATATTTTTTGTATGTTCTTGGATAACATGAAGGTGTATGTTTAATGCATGGCCCACCCACGGTCCTCACATGCTCTGTTTGGCCTTCAGGAATAAAAAGGCTCCTTGTTCCTGCAAGTAAAATGCTTAGCTACTTAAAACTATGATGATACACAATGAACACTAAAATAAAGTTGCCAGAGGAGGGGAACCTCAATCCATCCCACTCTTACCAGTTTGATACCAGTGCCAGCAATAGATGCCCAGAGCCTGGGGAGGGATCACAGATCAGCAGGAGAGCACCTGAAGAGCAGCACAAAGGAATTCCAGACACCCCAGCCAGTAAGTCAGCTTTACGGGCGCTCAACTTAAATACCTCTATGCAAGAACACGTAGCATGGGGAATAAACAAGACGAGTTAGAGGTGTGCACACGCCTGCAGGAATATGATCTTATTGGCATCACGGAGACATGGTGGGATGGCTCCTATAACTAGAGTGTTGGAAAGATACAGGCTCTTTAGGACGGATGGGCAGGGGAGACGAGGAGTAGGTGTCACCCTCTATGTCAATGACCATGGAGTGCATGGAGCTCTGCCTGGGCATGGATGAGGAGCCAGCTGAGAGCTTATGGGTCAGCATTAAAGGGAGAGCAGGGAGAGGTGGTATTATAGTCGAGGTCTGCTACAGGCCACCTGACCAGGAAGACCGAGCCGATGCGGTCTTCTATAGACAGATAGGAGCTGCCTGACCTTCACAAGCCTTGGTCCTCATGGGGGACTTCAACTACCCTGATAACTGTTGGAGGGACAACACAGCAGGGCATAAGCAATCCAGGACGTTCCTGGAATGCATTGATGATGACTTCCTTCTCTAAGTGATAGAGGAGCCAATGAGGAGAGGTGCGATGCTGGACCTTGTTCTCACCAACAAGAAGGGGCTACTGGGGAATGTGAAACTCAAGGGCAGCCTTGGCTGCAGTGACCGTGAAACAGAGTCCAAGATCCTTAGGGCAGTAAGGAGGG